TGTGTGTGTGTGTGTGTGTGAGGTTAGGGTTATAAAATTGTTTTATAAATGCTGTTTAATGAGGCTATAACTGGGCACATACAAATGCAGACAAATTGGACATATTATGAACCGCACTATTTTTAAGATTAAATGTTATTCTAGTGAAATTGTTTCAACCAGTCACCATCTGACTTTGAACATGACTAGTTCACATCATAAACAAATTACACTGGTTTTTATTTTTAGATCTTCATCTTCTTATGCGATTTCACCTAACACACCATAACCTTTCTGTGGCAGCTCTTTTAACAAGGTTCTGATCTGTGAATGAGACATCACCATCCATCTGTTGTGTGTGTGCATCTGCGCATGGGCCGTATCAAACCATTTGGTGCTCTGAGGGAAGGAAGGAGCAGCGTGGGTTTGCCTGGAGTCTGCTGTCCCTAAATTGACATCACAGACTCCACAGGTCTTCCTCATGAATCAGATGAGAGAGAGGCTTGAAATACCAGACCGCATATGACCACTGCTGTTCCTTTATTATGACATAACCACCATCATCCATCAATTATTAAGACATGAAATAAAGAAGTGGCATGTATAATACTGTTAAAAATGTGGGGACAATATGAAATTAACACTTTTATTTGGCAAGAATTGCAATAAATTGATCAAAAGTTACAGTAAAAACATTTATAATGTTACAAAAGTTTTTTGTTTCAAATAAATGCTATTCTTTTGAACTTTCTGTTCATCAAAGAATTCTGAAAAAAAATGTATCACTGTTTTCACAAAAATTGTGGACAGCTGTTTTCAACATTGATAATAAGAACACATTTTTTTTATTGAGCAGCAGATTAGCAAATTAAAATGATTTTTTGAAGGATCTTGTGACACTGAAATCTTGAGTAATGGCATTTGAAAATTCATCTTTGCCATCACAGGAATAAATTACATTTTAAAATATATTAAAATAGAACACAGATATTTTAAATTGTAATAACATTTCACAATACTGCTTTAATCTAAAGTTCTGTCGAATTAAACTATGAAACTATCGGCACAGGCTGACAGGTTCTTACTCAATCTGACATAATGGCATCATTAATCATATGGCGCAGCTGATTGGTTTCTTTTCGTATCAGCAGCTTGCTGCTCAACATTCAAATTCTCGCTACTTGCTGTAGCGGTTGCATCGTGCTTCAGAAACCCTCCACCTTCCCCAGCTCCACCTGTATAGATCTGCTACGGGGTAATTTCATGCATGTTATATATGGGGGTTATTTCATATATGTTATATGTGCAGCAGCAGCATTACCTA